GGCAGGGAAGAGATTAAGGAAGCAACCCTGTCTGTTGAATATTCCCTCCCCATTACTCAAAGCAACATGCCCCATGCTTCCTAAGCAACAGCCCTGCACAGTAGCAGCATCTGTCTGGGGTCATAAGGTGGCGTGACTTGCATTGCACATCGAGGGAGCAGGATTTGGCTGAGCAACAGCGAGATTGTACCTTACAGAAATCTGTGGCTTGCAAAAGCTGGCAGTGCCTCCATCACCAAAGTATTAAACCACCCATAGCCCGATCTTTTTCTTGGCCTTCCTGATTTGCTTTCCTGCCCCTGGCACCCACTGCCACATCCCCTCCATCTCCACAGCCTTCATCTGGCCTTCCTCTGAGGCAAGGTTGCTCCCCAAGGTATCCTTGAATACTGTAAGTCTTGTGTCTTTCTATATGCTGGGACATTTAGCTTAACTCTGGTGCTATCCTCAGCCTGTTTGGAAACTTGAACTGGAAGGGTGCTGCCTTCACCGGTTTGCAATGTTTGAAACACAGTGTTTAAGCTTCCACCTACCTGGGCATTATGCCGGTCAGAAGAGAAAATTTGTGATGCTTATTCTTCCTCTGCTCTTCCATTTCACCATCTAGGAGCTGAAGGGTGCCTTTCTGAAGTGGGGAGCTTGCTTGTAGTTTTTTTGGGGGGGTGAGGGAGAAATTTGATGCCGTTCGCATTTAAAGGCGAATCTGCCAAACTTTTTCTTTTCCAGACAATATGCAAATCAGAACATGGCCATTCTTCGAAATTAACACTTCTCTGAATTTTGCAATGCAGTTCTCCTGCCAATTAATATGTACCACAAAAGAGGCATATATTAAAGTTTGCACAAAAATGCACTGCCTTTAGGGAAATTGCTTGCAACAAGGCAGTGCATTTTTGTGCAAACTTTAATACACAGGCCTCTTTCTTGGTACATATTTCTTGTCAAATTGTCATACCTGCATACAAAAATAGGTTTATTAGGAGAAAATAGCATTAAAATCGCATTAAAATGCTGACAAATTTGCATGAGGCCTTTTTTTAAAAAAACAACAACCGCACACAAAATTCTTGTGTGGTTTTGGAGAGCTGGATTTAAGATTGGAAAAGTGAGAAAATATGGGAAGTGAAACTGAGAGATTTGCCCATCACCACTTGTAGCCCCTGTAGTCCCCCATGCATTAATCTAGAACCTGGAAGGTGGAATTCAGCATCATGCTAATCCAATTGCTCCACTAACACAAGCATTTCTCCCCCCTGCATTATGTTCTGTGGGTTCTCCTGAAATTTCCAGAACTGATTGGGGGCACAGGGGTGCATGTGAAGCAGGGAAGGAAGAAAGAAAGCCCTGTTGCACTAGCAGGGACCTGTGCTGGCTCCCACTAGTGCAACTAATTTAATTGAACCCAGCCCTGATTTTCCAGGGTTCAAGATCACAGGGGAACCTACAGAAGTAGAAACAGCGTCGGAACCTCAGCTAGCTACTCTTCAACTCATGGGAGGCAATGGGGATGGACAGGAGCAAAGCAAGCTCAAAGCCACTCTCCCCATTCTCATGCTTTATTTCCACAATAGCCCCTTTCTACAAGGCTATGTATCAAAAACAAGCTTTCAGTACTTTTGTAAGCTGTTTCAAGCTTTGAGGTTTCTTAGAAAAACAAACAAACATGGCATGGGCACAGATAAGGGGAGGCAGGGGAGCTGCTGCCTCCCCTTAATCCTGAAAAAGAATTGAAAACCATTAAAAATACTTAATTACATGAGGTTCTGCCCCCCCCCAGCAGAAACCTGCCCCCCCACAAAAGCCCACCCCCATGTAATGTCCTCTTTTGGGGGGATTTTTACCCGTGATCTTCCCCCAAAACTGAACAACTTTTGGGGCAATCTTTCAAAAAAAAGCTGAACAACTTTTTGTCCCCCACCCCCAGCAAAACTCTTGGCTACACCCATGAGTGGTGGGGAGATATATACAGTGGTACCTCAGGTTAAGAACTTAATTCGTTCTGGAGGTCTGTGCTTAACCTAAACTGTTCTTAACCGGAAGCACCACTTTAGCTAATGGGGCCTTCCGCTGCCGCTTTCTGTTCTCATCCTGAAGCAAAGTTCTTAACCTGAGGTACTATTTCTGGGTTAGTGGAGTCTGTAACCTGAAGTATCTGTAACCTGAAGCATCTGTAACCTGAGGTACCACTGTATATATCCATGGCCCGCACCTTGATATTAAAGAAAATGATGAGGGTTTGAGATGCATTGGAGCCTTGGCTTCCACACAGCCAGTTGCTGGACCAGATTCAGCAGATACATTTGTTGAATCTGGAGCTGTACTACTGAGCTTCACTGCCTCAAAGACCAAAGTCAGTCTCGGGCGATGGGAGGGAAGAACCGTCTCAGTCTCTTTATATATATTACACGATAAAATATAATAGTGCCAAAGGAGGCATTAACAGCCATGGGAGAGACTGCATTGCATTCTCTTAATACTACTTTCCATGCTAGTTGACATCTCTGAATTTTAGCAAAGAAGCTTATTGGTGTGAGTGTAATTACTACAGGTTTGTTTGTCTGTTTTTTTCATCACAATAATTTTAAGCATTTGAAAAAGAAAGAACAGCAGATGGCCATTCATAAAGTGCCTGCTCTAGAGTAGTTCCAGTGCAGGGTTCGGAGCAAGAATACTGTGGATGAAATTGTTTGTGGCTCGAGGCCAGCGTGAGTGTTACTGTGAACTTGAACTTGTATTTTATTGTGTTGCCTGCAGTGTTGGCCACTGTAGCTATGCTTTTATGCGAAGAGCTTGGATTTATAGGAGATGATGCATCTTGATCCTTCTTCCCAGGTTTTAGTGCAAAGCAAACACCATTACTTTTAAGGAAGTGACTTTCGCAAGGAAGTCCGTTCAGGACCCAATTGCCCGACCCCTCTCGTGTGTTTACTTGGAAGCATGCTTTACTGAGACCAGTGGGGTTTGCTCTCAGGTAAGCGTGCCATAGGATTGCCTCTTCAATGTCGTTATTGTCAGGATAATATATGAGAAGAGGGGGAGGGAAATGAGTTCATTCCTGTAAATGACCACTTAAGTTGTTGGCAGCAAATAAATGACTGCAATAAATTGTTCTTCATGTCAAGGCCTCATGTTAGGGTAGGATGCTGAGGACGGGGAAGGGACTTTATTCTTTCCCAGCACATCCTGCACTATTTCAGAATTAGAAAATCCTGTATATATGATCTGGCAAAATTAAGAACCCCCACTGACCCTCAGCAAGGAAGAATTTGAATGCATACCCACTCGTCCCATTGAAATAAATTGGAAATAAAAGTGGTTCCTTTTGGTTGTCTTGCACTCTTGATTGTTTAAATTTTTTTACTTATGGCAAACTTTCGAAAGCACATTCATTCATGGGACCAGACTCCTTCATTCTCCCAGTTTCCAAGTTATCTTTGCTTCCCTGCCTGCCGAATCTTACATGCTTAACCAGCATCAAATAATTTGGGGTTACTTTGTTTTTGTTTTGAAACTGTTCGAGTCAATTTGGCATTCACATGCAAATGTTAGCACTCCTAGACAACTTTTGCAAATATCCCAAAACTCAAGAGACATGCAAGTCCATAACAAATCAACACCAAAATTCACAGCTGGGGAATACCTTTGTTGAAACCAACCAAAACAGCAAAGAAACTGTAGTAAGTCTTTGAGTATTTCAGAACTCTGCGTCAGGAAACATGCTACACACAGCAGAGGCTGTCCTCACCCTCCCCCCCACTCCCTGATTTGTGTAGCTTCCTGATTGACAAAGAGCTCTGGAGAATCCAAAAGCTTGCCACCATTTTGTGGCACCTTAAGTTGACCCTAATGTAGGCATTGCCCTGTTGTGACTAACTTTGACAATCAGCATCAACTGGTGTATGCTCATAGGAATGCTGACAGTTTTCAACTTTTGGGCACGAACTGTATTTTAATTGTATTTACCCAAATACTAATTATTTACCCAAATACTAATTAAAAAACCCACTTTTCAGAGGTACCCAGGTGAATCACATTTAAGATTTTTTTGGACATTCACTTTTTTAATTAAAAGTTTTCAGTGGGGGAATAATGTGAAAGGAAAGAAAGATGAAGAAAGAGGGGGGGATGTGGTAAATAGAATATATGGCTATATAAGTAATCCAGTTATTCCAATAAATGTAAAATTGTTAAGAAGACATTATACTTTTTATGAATGTATTCCAAACTTACAATTTACATCTAAAAGCAGTCTGTTCATATTTTGCTAGAATTGCCATGTCTTCTATTGAATGATGGAAGGGGGTCATGGCATTATCTCTCCAGCAAATTAATACCAGTCTTTTAGCAGAAGTCAGAGTTTTGGGGCATTCATGACAACTTAGGTAGGTAGAAAGTTCCCTTAGGCTGAGTCAGACCCTCAGTCTACCTAGCTCAGCTTTGCCTACTGGTGCCTCTCCTATATGGAGATGCTGGGGATTCATCCTGGCCCTGTGAGCTACCACTGCCTTTTCCTTGCAGAGGTTGTAACCTTGTTAGTCTGTCGCAGGAAATAAGAGCCTTGCCTCCTTTAAAAGCCTTAACAGGTTTCTAGCCCTCATGGACTAGACTAGAGTCTCCTTCATCCGATGCTGGTACAATCTATCCACCACAGGCAGGTTCCAGCACTCTCAAAAATATGCCACAGCAAAACCCGTGTATCTTTTAAGATCCGCCAAAAAAGAAAAAAAGAAAAAGGTTTGTTCGTGCAGTTTTTCAGAAGATGGTCAGCATTGCTAAGCGAAAATTCTGAGCCTTTCCTGCAATACCGACAAAGGCTCCGTATATATATGAATGACACCCCCGCATCTGATGACTATTTTGGGTACCCGCCTTTGCTTAAAGAAGAAGAAGAAAAGTTGTCTTCCCACATTGGACTGTAGGTGCTTCCCTGCCCAATCTCGAGCGGATTCAAAACTCCTCCCTTCTCTTTGGTGGCGGTGGAGCAGGAGGAGGAGGAGGAAGAGGAGAGACTTGCAGAGATTAGGGTGGCAGCCAGACTTAGGGACCCTCCCGGTGTTTCCAAACACCTTCCTTCCGCAGGCGTTCCAGCTGGGCTGGGCTGGGCAGGTGAGTCAGCCGGAGGCTCCCGTCTGCCAGAAGAGGGGCCGTGTCCCTTTAAAGACATGTGATACTTTCCCCCCAGCCGGGGAATGCATTGAAATAGACTCTTCGGTACTTACACCGCGCTGTATAGGCGATCTGCGCTTTTCCTACGTACATCTGCTCTTACTCCGCTCTGAGTGCATTGGAGAGAGAGAGATACATATATATAGGAAAGGGGAGAGAGGGTGGAGGTAAAAAAAGGAGAGAGAGGGGCGGGCTGGTGTGTCATTAAACATCCACCGATCCTCTTCTCTAAGTGCCCTGGAAGCCTGCGAATTATCTCAAGATCACTTGAAAGGTCTCATCGAGCAGAAGGTGTCGCTCCGAGATGATTTAAAGGTGAAAATGACAGGCTTTCCACCTCTCAAAGCTTGGCTACTTTTCTGACAGCCTGGGAGATAGAGAGAGAGAGAGACAGGGAGAGAGCGAGAGAGCCTAGATGTCTTCCTTACTCTTGGAATAGGATTGCCAACGAGGACACAGAGACACAAACCAATCCCCGGTTTCGTTTTCGTGCGTCCTCAAGAAAGGCTGCTGTCGAAGATTGCCGGGCGAAACTGCACGATCCCGTGTTGTGGTGCAGATGGATTTTTTGGGGGAAAGTGTCCAGTCTTTCCAATGAACGCGAACCGGGCACTGTGCTTTGGGTTGGAATCCTCAGGTAAGGACGGAGCTGCTCGGAGGACTTCTCGGGATCCTCCCGCCGAACGAATGTCAAATAAATATACCTATATGTATCAGTAATAATAATAAAAAAAATTGTTGTTATTGTTATTCGGATGAGAGAGAGAGAGAGAGAGAGAGAGAGAGAGAGAGAGAGAGGGTCAGATCATCAAACCCAGGGAAGAAAGGTTAGCAAAGGGAAATGTTGGCTCTGGAGAAAAGTTCATACCAATAATGTTGTTTGAAGATGGAGGGTGAACGCTGGGGGGCGGGGGGGTTGAAAAGTCCTCACTCTAGAAATGCTGCCTGAAAAGAGAGAGAATGCGAAGAGATCAGCAGGAGAAGTTTTTTTTCCTGTCTTTCCCCGCTGTTTAAAAGACTACTCTGCTTGGAAGATCAGCCCCAGTGGAGAGGGAAGCCTCTTTTCTTTCCCCTTTAAATGTATTTGCTGATTGCATCAGATACACACACACACCATTCATATATATATATATATATCCCAAACGAAAAGAGGGAGGGGCATCCATCTCTTTGAAATCCACCCAGAAGTGCATTTGTGAGGGGCTTGGAAGGGAAGGGCTGGCTGTGTGTGGTGCTTTTGTTGCTGAGGTTTAAGGAAATAAAAGGGGGGGGGGAGGTAAGCCAAAAGTAAACAGCAGGGAGAAGGAAACAACTAATTATATATATGTGCTGGGTGAGTACATCAGAAACACAGAGCAGAGAGTAAAAGGGCATCCCGCTGGTGAAAATTATGTTTTGCAATTTGGTTGTTAATTATGCTTCTCCTTTGGAGCTGGAAACTTGTGTTTGATCCATTCAGCTTCCTCCCTCCCCATTTCCCCCCTCAAAAAGAGCCTCTTACAAAGAACATGCCTAAAAATTCAAAAAAAAAGAACAATGATGTCCATGTCTCGCACTTGACACTTGTACTCCATGACTGATCTGCCACTGGCAGTGATTTCAATTGTTAACCAACCGTGAGGATAGATCACTTCTGGGGGTTTTTTTAATACTTGTAAGCCCAACCTTCAAATGTGTGTGTGTGTGTGTGTGTGTATGAGTTGTTCTGCATGAGAGATAAAAGAGGTTTATTTGAGCTTGAATGTCTTTTCTCCCTTCCTCTGGGAAAAAAAAAAAGATGTTCATCTGATTGGATTATTAGATAGAAAATGCCATCTTGTCATTGGCTGACTAAGGAGCATGCCTGAAGTTTGATTAATTTGGCAATGTGGAATGCAGCAGAAGGTGTTGTTAAAAGAACTGGATGGAGCACAGCATAGCCAAGCCTTGGAAATCTGGCGATCCTTGAAGGCTTAGAGGAGAGGCTGTTAAACTTGTAAAGTTTACACGGTGTCTGTGTGTGGAAATGCCCAGTGCCACAGAGGTATCAAGTGATGGCGTATGTCGCCCTAGCAGAGAGAGATCTCTTGCTTTGGTAATGAGGATTCCTTTCTATTTTCGATACAAATTGATTTCTGAATAGATCAGTCCTCCGCCCTTCCTCCATTACTCAGGAAATTCAGTCTAGTCCTACAAGTTTTCTTTCGACGAGACACAAAAGAAAAGGAAGCTGTGTGTGTATGGACGGATAGAACAGAGTTCTGAGAAACAATTACTTTGCTTAGCAGACAACACTGCAATTAAAAATTAATGGCCTTAGAAGTTAAAAACGATGCAGCCCCTGCCGGAGAGAGATTAGACTTGCCAGATTGTCAAGGCAGAGCTTGCTTGAAATGTGTCTTGGCACTGGATGTCAAGTTACTATTTACAATCTGCTTTATGAAGTTCTGAGAGGGCTCATCTATATTAATCTCTCTGTGATTGCACAGGCACCTTAATGCTGTGAGATTTGGCAGTAGCATGTTCCAGCTACAACGCCCAGTTTTCCTGGCCCATTTCCATTGACTAGCAAGGCGTGAATGGCACCCTGCGATGGCACCCACTACGTCCCACGTTGTTGCTATTTTGCAGGATGGGTTCACTCTCGAAAATCTTGTACGCCCAAGCGATTTGCTTGCATGCTTTGTGTGCCCATATCACGAAACAGAGTTACTCATTGGAGATATACTTGCCTAGAGTGTTTCTGATCACACCTTGAAAGTGCAATTAAAGAATGAAATGGAGCGTGAATTTCTTAGCTTCTGCCTTAAGACTGTCCCATAGAACTGACACGTCCATTGTGACACAAGCTTTGGCAGGCTTAGATCTCCTCCATCAGCTGCACCTTGGTTTCCTGTTAACCTTGGGCTTCTTTTAGCACTGCTTTCATTTATGCCCCTGAATTATTAAAAGTTAATCTCGAAGCAGGCAGCTTCCTTGCATTCCTTTGGACGCACTCCTTTGTCACATGACAACTGGTCTGGAGGAAAGGGGGGGGGAATTGAGGTGGGGAAGCATCCCCCCCCCACCTTCCTTCCAACATGGTTCAGATGCACATAGCATCCGAATGGAAGCAGAATGTGAATTCACTTGCAGTGGGTGCTAATTGTTGTCTACTATTTCCTTTAGAGAACGGCCATGGTCTCTGCAATGTCCTGGGTCCTGTATTTGTGGATAAGTGCCTGTGCCATGCTGCTCTGTCAGGGCTCACTTCACCACACCTTCCAGCAGCATCCTCTGCACAGACCAGGTAGGACCAGTTACAAAGATGCTGCTCTGTGCAGCCTCATGTGTGAGCCTATACTGTATATTGATGCAATGGGGATTAATCTGTTCCACCCCTGACATTCTACGAGCTGCTTCCTTGCATGACAATGAAATCAACCAAATATTTGCTCTCTTGCCGCGGAAAATCACAACCTATTTTTGGGGGGGAGGGGTGTGTGTTTCTGTCAGTTTCCTCAAATTGGCATGGGAAAGCTCTTTAGATTATACTGTAGATTCTTTTTACACTGTGTGGTAAGAGAATAAGATTGCTTTCTCCTGTGGAGAAACAATGCAGTTATATAACTTTGAGCACTTTTATTTCCTGTGCATTTGCGAACTGAGGCACAAGTCTCCCCTCCCTGCAAGGAAAAGAAAAGACAGGGGGCCCAATGTTTGCATTCAGATGAGAAAAGGACAGATAATCACATGCCTATTTTAGTAACTTATTTTCTCTTACATCTGTGGATGGAGACAAAAAACTCAAAACACCCACCTACCAATAACTATGCATTATCCTTTACTGCCACATGCAGGGTGAATTCTAGAATGTGGGGAGACCTGCTTGGCAATGTTGCAACACAATCTCAGCCCTTTTACTCAGAAGTATGTCCCCCTGTATTCGGTGATGCTTATGCCCTGGTAAACGTGTTTAGGATTGCAACCTAAGCCATGTCTCCAGGAAGCCCCTTAATTCAAGCCTTATGTAACCACTTATTGTTCCTGGGATGGTTATGCCAAGTGTAAACGATGCTGCGACATGGCCTGCATTTTTGTCGAACGCTGCTATTTGTGATCGTGGTGAACGTATGATAAGGCGAACGGTATTTCTGGTAAAGCATGTCATGTTTCCAAGGATGCTCCATGGCTGAAAGGTGCAAAAAAAGAGGATTTTGGTGTCGGTAATAGAAATTGATTAAGGTAAGATTGCGTCTAAGGCATTGGGTTGCATTGACATTCCTCAGATGGAAATCAACAATGTAATATTTCAAAGCTGACCATTCATTTGGAACTTGCTTCATGGGCTTACTGTTCAGGAAATGATCCATGTGCATACAATGCAATATGAGAAGGCTGATGAACTGGCCACTGCTCATAGGATGTGGTGAGCTTCCCACCCCCCTTTTCTCTCTCTTAGAGTTTCAAAAGTGAAATGTGTGTAGTGATGATGGGTAATCATGCTCTGCAGATTTTGAGAATATCACTTTTGGCTCCAATAGATGTCAACGTCTTTATTCAATCTGATGTGGGTGAGGAAAAGCGTCCTTCAGACCTGGAAGTAATAGCTTAAGAATCTTAGAAACCAAAGGGAAGGTTTGCCCAAAAGGATTGCGGTGAAATTGCTCATTGATAGCTTCCTCTAGATACAGCCCTTGAATCAGAGTTGCACAGGAGCACAGTACTACTCTTATGTCTTATATACCCCATGCCATTCTGTGTGTTGTGGATTTCATATACATTTTGCTCTAGGGTGCGCAATCGATTGCTTCACTAACTGTCATTGTAATTGATCAGAGGCAGGTAGGACAACCGGTACGCATGTCTTTCTCTCAGAGCCATCAAGAGAAGGAAACAAAGCGCCCACTGAAACAGAAAGGTGGCAGCTATCTGCTACCAATGGCAGCACAATGGACAAACAAACCACTGTATGTATAAATAGTCAAAGGGAAAATGCAATCTCATTTTTGCACAATCAGTTGAAACAAGTGACATGATGAGAGAAAAAGAAAGGAAAGAGGGATAGACCTTCCGGTGGCTGGCAGCATTTGCCTAAGCTTGAAAAATCACCTCCTTTATGAAGCTAGAAGAGCACGGCATGGGGTGCATACAAAGTATTGGGGGAAATGGGAAATATGACATATCTTTCGCAGGGGCTGTGATACAGACTGAAGGCTTTACAGCTGCCTCATCACCTGCTTAGGAACAGCAGAGCTTTCCCTCTTGCGAGACTTTCTGAGGCAGGCAGCCTGCACCCTACATGAGTAAGATTGATGGTCTTCTGAGCCCAGGCAGCCAATTTCAGTCTCTCAAGAAATAAGCCACTACATTGACAGATGAGTGGAATTTGATGGAAATGCTCACCATTGATTCAGGTTGTTCCGTGTCTGGATAGGAGAAGATACACTGAGAGTCCTTTAGGAAGACAGAGTTAGAGGTTCTTACGAGATTTCTTTTGTCACAATACAGAAATTCTATCTATCTATATCTATCTATCTATCTATCTATCTATCTATCTATCTATCATCTATCTAATCTAATCTGTGAATTTGTCATCTTATTTGAGAATGCAAGTGGTGGTGGTGGTTGGGGAGTGTTGCACAACATGAAGAAAAAGGAAATGGAAATGTGTTAATGATGAAAATGAGCAGAGTTTTTAATATATTCAGCTGCAGTCCTCAAGCGATTGCTATTTTTCATATTTATATTATTAGGAATGCATCATTTACTTTGAGTTAGCCACTTTGAGTTAGCCACTGTTTAAGGAAGATTAAAACACTGCATCAAGAAGGGGGGGGGGGGAGAGTGAATAAAAACTGGAGAAGATGAATCGATGCATAATTTTCTAATTTCATACTGTTGTACTAGAAGGCCTTTTCTATTTTTAATAAGGTGAAAACACACACAACTGTAATTAATTGTCTAGCATACCTCCACCCCAACTATCACAATCTCCCAGCACTTTATGGCGGTTCAGTCCATAATTCTTGGTGGGGGTCTTTAATTTGTAAGAGGCCTTCCAAATAATTTTTAAAAGCTTGACAAGAGCGTGGGGGAAATTAAGGAAGACAAGTCTCTCTATGTCTTCCACCTCCTTGACTTGATAAATGGAAGATCTCCTTTAAAGACCACAGTGTGCAGCATTTTAAATATCACATGATTTAGTGGACTTAATCTATTGCTCTTGAATTTGGCTTTAAATAAAGCTGCATAGAGAAACCATTTCTCCATGTGGATGGCTAGGTTGGTGATTTTAAAACTAAGAACATGGGGAATATGGTGAGTTTAAATGTTTTTTTGCTAGGTTTAAAAGTACAAAGACATGTGGCCCTTATCCAGGGAATCCCTGGATGCCACTGACTGATGCCCTGCCAATGCTGTTATGGTGTCACACATGTTTCTCTATGGCCATGACTGTCATGTGGAGTGTGATTTGATTTCCTTAACTATTGCCTTGTTTTGTGCTTGGATTAGTTTCTTCACCTTGATTGCTGCCCCTGCCTTGAAGCTATAAAAGCAAATGATTATGGGTTGTATCCAACCACGTTGTCCCATCCAGCCACTTCCCTCTCCAGCAGAACTTCTCTCTCCTCCTACCACATGCATATGTTCAGGTAACTCCCCCCCAACACTTGGGAGGAGATCTGGGGGTTGCATGGGGAGATGAGGAGGGACAGGAAGTTCTTTTGCATAAGCTGAAGTCCTTGCACCAATGGGACACTTCGTTGGATTCAACTCAAAACTTTTTTTGGGTGGTGCGGGGAGAGAGTATAGCAGCACAGGCATTAACTGCCCCAGGACTGCACCACTGTAAGGCATTTCTGACATGAATCATATGCTCTAGAACAGCAATGTCCAACCGGTTGGCCACGATCGACAGGTAGATTGTCGGGGTGCTCCCGGTTGATCGCAGAAGATAAAAAAGTGATCGGCTGGTTTCCTATGAGCAAGCATGCTGCACTGTGCCCCGGTGCTGTGTTCCATCGCTGGCACCATCACTGCTTAGAAAGGTTGAATTCCCTGCGTCGGCGTCAGAGTGTGGGAAGGATAGAGGGCAGCAGAATTTTGTGCTAGTGATTTTATGCAATCTTCACCCCAAAAAGCTTAATAACTCTTCTCAGCCCCCTAAAAGAAGCTCAACAACTTGTGCCAACCCTTCCTAAAAGAAAGCTCAACAATGCTGGCCATTGTTTCCCCAAAAAGCTCAAGAACTCTGGCCTCCCCCCTCAAAAAAAATCTCAGCATCTCTGGTCTCACCCCCTAATGAAAGCTCAACAACAATGACAATGGGTAGATCACTGCCAGTTTTATTATACTCAGAGTAGATAGCAGTCTCTAGAGAGTTGGATGTGCCTGCTCTAGAAGTTCCCAGATTAGAATGTTACTAGTGATCTGAAAAGGGCCCCAAACAAATATGAATAAAAATCATGTGAATTGAGTTTTCTTGGGCATTCTTTGTCCAGGTGGCTATAGCATTTTCCTCTTTCTTGTCCTCTCCTGCACACCTGTGCCACTTCAGCATGGCATGGAGATGGAACACATCGTAAAGGTCAATTTGGAAGGTGGTGCATTGTGATGTTCGATGCATTGTGATGTTCAAGCAGTTGTTGTCGCATCATTTAAGAGCCCAGGAAGGGATAGAAAGTGACTCTTTACAAGCTTGGTGTAAGCAATCCTAACAAGAATTGTGAGACATCCAGCGTAGGCATCAGTCTTACTATAAAATAGGTGTGTTTGATGAATTGAGTCTTTGTCATTTCTGAAATGAAGTGCCCCGATCCAAATCTCCCAAACTGATGCGAGGATTAGAATGTAGATCTCAGTCAGGTTTTGCACTTTGAATGTTGTGGTGCACTTATCAGTTACACACACACACACACACACACACACACACTATAATGTATCCAGAAATGTAGGTTCTCAAGAGAAAATACGTTTTGAGAGAAAACACACATTTAACTATATAATGAAATGTGAGTTGTCAAGTGAAAATGGCGTATTTATGCAGAAATGAAAAGAAATGGATTTAGGAGTGAACCCATTTGAAAGTAAGATAGGCTGGAAATAGGCTGAGTCACCTGTAGGCTGTAGAGTGATAAACTTCGTGTGGTGATGGGGGGGGTATTTCTTTGGTTGCTACTACATTATGTATTTTTGTGTTTTTATATTGTAAACCACCCTGTGATCCTTGGATGAAGGGTGGCAAAGAAATTTAATAAATAATAACAAGCAACATGAATAGAGCATACTCTAAAATCCCAACGCACAAGGTGAAACCTCCTGGTGCAATTGTGGGAATTCTCCACCTCACATACAGAATGTTCTCCTGGTTAAATAAGAGGCTGAATATGATTTGTGGAACTGATTTGGACTGTGTGAATTAGCTCTTACAATTAAGTGCAACATATTTACATTTTTGTATTGTTTATGTATTGCATTTTAGTCACACATCGGAGTATTTGCAATTCAGGTTTCAACCCAATCCCTTTCAATGGCCTCTATTTACCAGAACCCATCTGAATATTCTGATGCCTGCTAAATCATTTCCCATGTCTGTCTTGGGTTCCTCATGGATTCGTTTCACAAATAGTTCATCTGAACTGCTAGAGAGGCTCTGCAGGTTTCAACCAACTCCTCCAGAGCCCTAGAAGTGAGTGGGTTGTATCCTTGAGAACACAAAGTGGCAAAACTGCAATGGACCCAGAGTCATTGTATTTTTAAATCATCATGGCCATACAAAGGCTTTCTAATACAGGGGGGAAAGGTGTGTGTGGAAAACGAGAATGATTCTGCTGAAGACATGTGCAATGCTACACAGCAAGCATGTAAAGCTTCAAGTAGAAAGGCAAATCTACAAGGAGTGACAACTACCAAGGGATGTTAGAAATAAAAGGGCAAGGAACATGAAGGGGAATATGAGCCTGCTACTCACTAAAAATGAATAAACTAGGACAAATGACTTTAATTTCTTCGCTTCAGTCCCAAATAGAGTAACAAACGTTTCACAAACAGTTTTGAAGTATCACAAGGATAACATCTCAGAATCCAAATTTACCTTTAAACCTGACTATAGCTCCAAATTGTTCACCTGTGATGTCAAAAATACTGGTGTCCTGGCAGTGGGTACCAGGAGCAGAACTAAATCAGAGGCAGACTCTTGACAGTTATTTTGTGGTGGGGGGGAGAGAGATTGTGTGTATTGTGGATGGGGGAGCAATACATTAAGTTTGCATCATAAAATCTTAATGCAGACCTACCCAATTCATGTTTCCCAAACTGCTACATAAACCAGTATGCGGCTATCCTTTGAAATTCACATTTCTCTGAATTTTGTGTACAAAGAAGCATGTCTTATGGGGAAATGACATTCAAAAATGCATTATATTGGGGAAAACAACTTTCTATACTGCATGTATTGGTAAAATCATGCACACAAAAATTGCAGATTAGGAGAAATTCCCCTCAAAGCGTGTACAGGTTTCCGTGCCGATTTTTTTAAAAAAACCAAACAAAAAAATCACAAACACCTGCAGAAATCGGGGGGAAATTATGATGGCAAAGTGAGAAAGCAAAAGAAACCAAAACTGATGGATTTGTATGTCTCTAGTTTACATGACATATCGTCCAATTCACTCAGTGTGTGGTAAAGGCCACTTCCTTAGATGGCTTGAAAAAAGGAGATTGGAATATTCAACAAATAGTTATCACATTGGCTGGAGGCGACTTACAGCTTTGGAACCAGCATACCTCTGAATGCTAGCTGCTGGGGGAGAGCAGGCAAGACTATTCCTTTGTGGTGTCCCTTTGAGCTTCCTTCAGACATCTGGTTGGTTCCTGTCAGAAGCAATGTAATGTTCTAGATGGATCTTTGATCTGCTCCAGCTAAGTCTGGAGCCAGGCCAAAATTGAGCAGGCCAAAACTGAATCAAAGGCAGAATCTGGTGACACCAGCAATCCTGGCCAGCTGCTGTGCTTGAAGTGGCTTATCAGGGTCCATCAACACCCTACAGGTGCTGATGCCTCTTGGGCTCTTCCTCCCCATTTTCCTGGTCATGGGCTTATGTGACAGCATAACACAAAGCCATGGTTTAATAAAGGTAAAAGATAAAGGGACCCCTGACCATTAGGCCCAGTCATGACCAACTCGGGGGTTGCGGCGCTCATCTTGCTTTACTGAGGGAGCCGGCGTATAGTTTCCGGGTCATGTGGCCAGCATGACTAAGCCGCTTTTGGCAAACCAGAGCAGCGCCGTTTACCTTCCCGCCGGAGCGGTACCTATTTATCTACTTGCACTTTGACGTGCTTTCGAACTGCTAGGTTGGCAGGAGCAGGGACCGAGCAACAGGAGCTCACCCCGTCGCGGGGATTCAAACCGCCGACCTTCTGATCAGCAAGCCCTAGGCTCTGTGGTTTAACCCACAGCGCCACCTGCGTCCCATACCGTGCACTAAAAGGGATCACTGGGTGTATTTCCTCTCAAGACACGTATAACTTCTTCCTTTTAGTTACCAGGATAGTTTGATCTTTTCTCCTCCTTCAGTTTTAGTGTGATGGTTTTTGTTGCCCCCCCTCCCATTTTTAATGTTTCCCTTTCCAGCCTGTCATGAA